AAAAAAAAACATTCAGGTTTTACTTATGTATAAAGTTCAAACAAAAACACTTTAGTTAAGAGTGGTAATTGCAAATAACTCCAACGAACAACGTGCTTTTACATGATCAAATAAATGATAGCATAAGAAATAAAATTTAAAAATGGATTAAAAAATATATTATATACCAGTATTTATATGACAGAGCAATTACAGTTATTAAAAAAAGTTATTGCTAATCGTTATAAAGCATCTCTTTCACCTTCATTTATGTGTTTGTGTTTTTAATCATCCATTTATTTCAAATTAATATTTTATATATTTTCCTTATTGAAAGAAATAGCTAAACAGGTAAAAATAACAGCATATCATAGAGCAAGTGCCTCTTTAAATTAAAAGTAAATTTTTTATAATAAAAGTACTTATTTATTATGAAATTTTAATTATATAAAAATGATAAATAAGTAAAGGATTAGTGAACATTGAATTCAATTATATTTGTTAACTATCTGACGACAGAAGAATCTAATTGTTGACTATTGGGCTAAAGTCTGAAAGAAAAATAAAAAAAGTTATAATTATAAATCTTATTATCCACAGTTAATAAATTCAGACAAACCGAACTGTGATTCTTGTTATGAGAATAATATAGTTGCAGTGTGAACTCAAATAATGACGGCGAAGCCACTAAACCCAAAATCAACCTAATTTCAAGAACCAAAATTTCCATATCCAACTTTTACTCCCAATTCCTCTTCAATATTTCACTCCCCACTTCTACGTAAGTTTCTCTTCTCTTTCTCGGTTTCTTTTCAGCGATCCTTCTCTACACACCTTCAATGTTCGCTTTTTTCATTGCATATTCCAAATCCGCAGAATTTCGGGGAACATTGAATTGAATCTCTTTGTTTTGATTAATTGATGTTTCTGCAGGTTTTTAACGGGAAGGGGATGGGGTTGTGATTTGTAATTGAAGAAGGGGTGAGGAGGGAGGACACGGCCACAATGCGGTGGTTTCCGTTGAGTACAACTTCAAACTCGGAACAAGAACGGGGTAGAGAGAATAATACTGCTCGTACTTCGGTGTATCTCAATGTATATGATCTTACTCCCATAAACAATTATCTTTATATGCTTGGCCTTGGAATATTTCATTCGGGTATACAAGGTTTGTGTCTGTTTTCCTTATATTTCCTTTTCTGTTCTTTTTTCCTTTATATGGATCTTTTTTCTGTTATTTTTCTTGTCTATGCTTATTTTGGGCGCCCCCGGATATTGCAAATTTTAGCTCATATGAGATTACATGTCACCATTGGACTCAGTTGAAAACCAAAGTTTGAGAAATATTATTTAGCATGAGATCTTTTTTGAGGGCTTCTTTCAAAGTCTTTATTGGTGTCCCTTCTTCTTTCTTCACAGTTAAGGAGAAGGGTTCTGTTAGGCCTTCGGCGAGAAACGTAAAATTTGCCCATGTTCCGATCATGAATTTACTGTTTATGATTGCTAGCAATGTGTGCTTATTAAAAGAGGAGAAATAAAGGGTAATTTTGAACGAAGTTGTTATATAATAAATGAATTTGCTGTGTGCGTTGTACCTGAAACGCGGCAGGCGTTAGAGAATACGTTATTAGCCTGCATTGTGTGTATTATTCTACGATTTGGAACGCATGATGTACAAGCAGCCGTTAGTTTGGCTCCTTAAAATTTTTTACTGAATAATTGGTGTCTTTTGTTCTCCTTCTGTCTTTATTCCTCTCTGATTTTTCGTCCTTGAATTTTCAACCATTTCTCTCTCTCCTCCACACCTAGTTTTATTTTGGGATTTTTTTTACGTACTTAAAGTGATGAATTTATGAACCATAGGGTGAATTTTGACATTTTTGACATGCAAATTTAAGCTTTTTATTGAATATTGATGTATGTGCCATTTTCGATAAGGTCATCATGCTAAAAGCGTAACTTCGTTATGTATATAGTAGTCGATGGTTTCACAAATGTGTAATTTAACAGTTTAAAGGAGGACAAGACTAAGTGACTTTACCTTCCTTCCTTTTTATTTCTGTACATGTTTGATTGCTTCAGTTGTTTAGAACAGCTACTATTGCTTATATCTAAAATGTGCTTTTTGATACTGTGAACAAACTTGATTACCTGTTCCATTTTGAATTTAGTTAGTAAGCTGACCCTGAAAAAATTTTGGGCAAGGAGCTTGGATGTACATGAATATTTGTCCTGGTTATTTTTCATTTAGTTCCATTTTTGTTGTTAAATACCATCTTGCAACAACTTTAAGCTTATTTTTTTCATGAACAGTGCATGATATTGAATATGGTTTTGGAGCACATGAATATCCAAGTAGTGGTGTGTTTGAAGTGGAGCCTAGAAGCTGCCCAGGCTTCATCTTCAGACGATCAGTTTTGTTGGGAAGCACTGATATGTCTAATTCAGAATTTCGATCTTTCATAGAGCGCCTTTCAGCAAAATATCATGGAGACACTTATCATCTTATTGCAAAAAACTGCAACCATTTTACAGATGAAGTTTGCCAGCATCTAACGGGAAGTCCTATTCCCGGATGGGTAAATCGAATGGCTCGTGTAGGTGAGCATCTTTCTGCTTTCTTATTCTTGTTGTAAATCACAATTTGATTTGCATTAATAATGCACATGTGTAGCATACGTTAGTATAGCACCTTCCATTTGCCTCTTCTATTTTGCTTTAAGAAGATACGGTTCAGGTTGCACAGATGTGAATTTCACATTCTGCTGAAATGGGTTATAAGAGGACAAGGGAAACAAGCATGCTTACATTGGGTTTCATTTTATGAATCTGCTGATTATGGAGACTAGTTTTGTTCTCATCTAATCAATGTGTGGTTTAATCTTTTAGGTTCTTTCTGCAATTGTCTTCTGCCAGAAAGCCTCCAGGCTGCCGCAGTTAGACATCATCCAGAACGTCTTACATTTTCTGGTAAGATGCTAGGATTATAATGGTCCAAATTGATTCGCATTTTATGGTTTTCTAAAAGCTAAAGTTAGCTTATATATTAGTTATAAACAAAAACTTGGAGAAGTTATGCGAGAACATAAATTAACTTACTTTCTAATTAAAATATATGACAGTTTCTACAAATTAGTTTATGCTTACCTTGTGTTTGGATGAGGTAATTCAAGAGAATAATTCATTTATTTGGTGAATTTAAAACTCCTTGGACTAAATTTCAATTTTAGCTTATGAAGAAGGTTATTTCAATTTTGTTTTCTTAGAAGTACTTATGAAGAAACTAGTCCAAATAGATCCTATGTTTCATTTCATCTTGTTTTATTGGCTATCCATGAAAGAGTATCTGTTACACATGGGCGCACAGAAAGCATAAGCGTGGCCCGAAGAACCTTAAGGACTGCAGGGCAATTGCCCCGACAAGATCTTTTTTTACTTGAACATATTTAATAATTTTTTTGCCCCAAATAAAAGAATAGGTGTTTCTCCCATGAGATATTTTTTTAAATAAATGTAGAAATGAAAAGAAATAAAAGAGAATAAATTGATGCTAATTTTATTGCTTAATAATATTGTTGCTGCTTGCTGCTATTCCTTGGGGAAAAAATT